CACCCCTGTAGCCCCCCCCTGCTACCAAAACCTTGCCACAAAAAGCCAATACAGGTGCATTCGATCCCCTTGTCCAAATCATTAATAAAGATATTAAACAGAACTGGCCCCAACACTGAGCCCTGGGGAACACCACTTGTGACTGGTTGCCAACTGGATTTAACTCCATTCACCACAACTCTTTGGTCCCGGCCATCCAGCCACTGTTTTACCCAGCAAAGCATACACCCGTCCAAGCCATGAGCAGCCAGTTTCTCCAGGAGAATGCTGTGGGAAACGGTGTCAAAGGCTTTACTGAAGTGCAGGTAAACAACATCCACAGCCTTTCCCGCATCCACTAAGTGGGTCACCTTGTCACAGAAGGAGATCAGGTTGGTCAAGCAGGACCTGCCTTTCATAAACCCATGCTGACTGGGCCTCCTCGCCTGGTTGTCCTGTATGTGCCACCTGATAGCACTCAAGATGATCTGCTCCATAACCCTCCCTGGCACCGAGGTCAGACTGACAGGCCTGTAGTTCCCCAGATCCTCCTTCTGGCCCTTCTTGTAGATGGGTGTCACATTTGCTAACCTCCAGTCAACTGGGACCTCCCCAGTTAGCCAGGACTGCTGGTAAATGATGGAAAGTGGCTTGGTGAGCACTTCCACCAGCTCCCTCAGTACCCTTGGGTGGATCCCATCTGTCCCCACAGACTTGTGTGTGTCTAAGTGCTGTAGCAGGTCACTAACTATTTCTCTTTGGATTATGGGGGCTTCATTCTGCTCTCCATCCTTGTCTTCCAGGTCAGGGGGCTGGGTACCCCAAGAACAACATGTCTTACCATTAAAGACTGAGGCAAAGAAGGCATTCAGTACCTCAGCCTTTCCCTCATCCTCTGTCACTATGTTTCCTCTTGCACGTAATAAAGGATGGAGAGTCTCCTTAGCCCTCCTTTTGTTGCTAATGTATTTATAGAAATTTTTTTTATTGTCTTTTACAGCAGTAGGCAGATTAAGAACTAGCTGGGCTTTGGCCCTTCTAATTTTCTCCCTGCATAACCTCACCACATCCTTGTAGTCCTTCTGAGTTGCTTGCACCTTCTTCCAAAGGTTATAAACTCTCCTTTTTTTCCCTGAGTTCCAACCAAAGCTCTCTGTTCAGCCAGGCCAGTCTTCTTCCCTGCCAGCTGGTCGTTCAGCACATGGGGACAGCCTGCTCCTGCACCTTTAAAAGCTGCTTCCTGAAGAATGTCCAGCCTTCCTGGACTCCTTTGCCCTTCAGCACTGACTCCCAAGGGACTCTGTCAACCAGGCTCCTAAACAGGCCAAAGTCTGCCCTCTGGAAGTCCAAGGTGGTAGTTCTGCTGACCTCCCTCCTTAGTTTTCCAAGAATCAAAAACTCTATCATTTCATGATCACTATACCAAAGTCGGCCTCCAACCATCACATTACCCACAAGTCCTTCTCTGGACAACAGGTCCAGCAGGACCCTAGTGGGCTCCCTCAGCAACTGTGTCAGGAAGTTATCTTCCACATACTTCAGGAACCTCCTGGATTGTTTTCTCTCTGCTGTATTGTATTTCCATCTACTGCATTAAAAGGACTACCACCAACAACAAAACTGATAGATTTTCCTAGTAATGACATCAGCAGCCCAACAAATTCACAGAAGAGAATCAAACATTAGAAAGTGTTAAAAATTAATTATACAACTTTAATCCATCAATTTCTTGATTATATGATAAACCTAAAATAATACATAAATTGGTGCTGTATTTTAGCTTCTCAAATAGACAACCTTCAGTAGCCTTGTAATCCTCTAAACTGCAATCTAACATCTATAGTCATTAGTTTCATTGGCTTCAGTGAGACCAGCAAAAGTAAGACTAACGGTTGCAGTAAGTTTCAGAGTCATTCCAATTATAAACCTCTAAGCAATTCTTGCAGTGATTCTGTTCTAAACAGAACAAACTTGTGAAGTGACAGACCAAGAAACACTGCAAGAACAGTCTTACAGAGAGATCAGTATTGAAACAAGCTTGATACAAGCTTTTAGAAATAACTGAGTATGGTGTTCTGAACAGTTAATTACAGACTGATTTGCAAAAACGGTTTTGTTTCCCTCTGGCAAGGGCCTTATAAACATTTAGGTCTCAGTAAACACCCATATTTAGCAATTTCAAATGTACAGTCCTGTGAGTTAACATATTCTTTATAAATAAAAAAGATCAGATAAATTAACACTTACCCATAAAAAACTGTAGTGCAACATTGTCTACCAGAATATGGTCCAGAGGGACTGTGCAAAGTTTTCCAAAGTTTGCTGCCAGTTTCACAGTATCTATTTCCTGTAAGACACAGTTCAGTGTGTTCAAAGGCTTTATTTTTTTAAAAATTAGCTTTTAAAACTTCTACTTACCACAAAGCAGACAGAATAAAAAACAATTTACATTATAGATAATAAAGCAGCCTCTCAATGGTTAGTTATTTTCACAATCATTATTAAGTAAAGATCTAAATCATAAGATCATGTTCTCATAACTATTTGCCTTCAACATGGATGATTTCTGCTACATGGGAAGCTGGCTTTTAACACTGCCATTCATGTAATACTATTATTAATTAACCCCAAATCCCTCACCAACAGTGACAGTAGCATGACAAAAAATTAACAAGATAAACTAATTTCAGCATTTGATGGTCTGCAGGTCACAACTTAAATTCATCTCTGCCCAACTTTCTTCTGTCAATATGACATTTCTTGGTATTATAGTAATGCTTTTGGGTCCAGCTATAGAATACTTAATTTTAACAGTCAATATGCACAAGATTACATTATGTTGGAGCCACACCTAGGTCCAATTAAGAGAGTCAAGAAACTAAGCAAAGTCAAACATACTGACTGTCAGTCTTAAAATATAAAACAAAGTATTAAACAAGCAAACAGAACAACACCAGGTTCTTAAATTTAACATCCAGTTTGCCTTAGGCTTTTCGTTGAACTGAAGAGGTAAATATGTCTAACAAAAGGCAATACATGGCATCTACAAGGTGTTGCAAAATAATCAGCAAGTACGTACCCTTATCAAACAAGAAAAGGGATCTTTGCCAAATACTAAGCTTGAGGCACACAAGGCATGCAGTGGTGCAGCAAAAAAGAACTGAATCTAAGTGTATAAATACAAAGAGGCTTTGCATCTATGTAACATTTTGGTTACATAGATGCAAACTCTTGTATTGAGAAGGTAAGAATAGTTTTAAGATGTACTGACATACCTAAACTGCTAAAGGCAGAATCCAAAAAACTCTAAATATGTGAACCTTTAGAAATTTTTTCCGTAATTAAACCATAAATACAAGACTAACTTCAGTTGTATAATGTATTCCTGTAATTGCATACTTCAAGTTGTGTTTCAAAATGCAAGAATTAAAAAGCTGGACTGAACTAGTAAGTCATTTGCAACTTCACTCTTCCAGAAATAAAAAATTCTAAAAACACTTACTTTTCCTGACTGCAACCTCTGAATTCTTGAATCACATACTTTAATAACATATAATAAACTGTTTATCTGATTTTTTATAGTGTTGATATCTGAAAGCAAAAACAAAGATGATTAAGCAATGCAGATGAGCAAATAAACTCTTGTTCTGAAATGCTCTAAAAATATCACACAAAATGTAACATACCACATACAAAACATATCAGCTTTGAAGAGAAGGGGTTTTTTCCAGTTTAAATACCTTCCTGATGGAAATGAACAAGAAATATTTTTCCCTTTCCTTTTTCAGATTAACTCAACTTTATATCCATTAATACCTAAAGTATTACTGAAATTCAGAACTACCAGTCAGACAAGTTTCAATTCAATAGAAATATACATACCTAACCAGTTAGTTTATATTTAAAAAAAAAACAAACAAAAAAAAACCCCAAAAAACCAAAAAAACCGCCCCAAACCCCCAAAAAACAAAAACCACAAACAAAACAAACACTTATGAAGATTCAAGTTTTAACATTTTTCATGTAATTTTCTTTATTTTTTACATAACAAAATATTTTATACTATGCTGCATCAGAGTTTTTATTTTCTAAATGTTTGGAATATTCTTCAGTGATCATGCTAGTAGTGCATGTCATATTTTGTAAAACAATACAGCACTAACCATCTCCTGCTGTATCTAGAGATCGAAGATATTGCAGTTCTTCACTTGCTTTATCTTTCACTGCTTCCAACTCTCCTACATTATCACTTAATTTAATAATATTCATAAAGGCCTCATAGTTACAGTTGGAATCACGAATCTGAAACAGAGAGTTTTACAGTGTGAATAATGCAAAACAGCTAAAAGCGTATGACATGATTTTTCATTAAGTGAATTATTTTGATACAGCACCGCAACTGGCATTTGGAAAACACTTTGACAATTCTAAACCTTCCTTTTGATACTAAAATTTCACATGGACCAAGAAAGAAGAAGCATGCACAGAGGCAAAACCTATTTCACACCATCATTTTCTGTTTTCAGTAAGTACAACATACACATGGAAAGTCCATCAACCTACTTAATGAAGACCTTGCCCACAACCCAATCAACCTTCTATTACCCATTTCTTTAGCTAAGTAGGCAGAAACTGGCGAGACCACTTAAAAAGGTTCAGCTTTGCCAAGGTCCCCTGCAAGTGTAACTGCTCCCAATGTAACTGCTTGTTAAGATACAGAATTACAAAAAGAAAATATTCTACAATGCAATCATAGCCTGCTGGGGAGGGTAGGGGGGACGGCTGGGGGACGGGGGATGGGGAATGACCGAACTAATATCCTCTCTGAAACCCTAATTCAGATACCTTTGTAAATAATATTAAGCTATTTCAATACATACTATTTTCCCAGTATTGGCATAGGGTGAACCTACTCTAGAGACTGAAAGGAATTTGTGCAAGTGAAGGAAGCCTGCTGTGCTGCCGAGATCACTGGAAACTGTGTTGTGAATGCAGCACGAAGATCGGGGAAGGCTGACAGCTTTACAGCATGTGCACACAGGTGCGAAGGGCTGAGTTCTAATGCTGTCTTTACCATCTAAAGCAAAAAAAAAGTAACTTCACCCACATCTTTCATAAATCCTTACTTTGATATGGAAATGTAATACTTGGTCTGCACTGCAGAAGTGCATTGACATGAGCTGCACAGAGCAGAGAATGAAGACTGGATACCTTTGACCAAAGTTAATGGTAAATCTTCCTAGAAATCTGCTTTTAAAAGGAATAGTACAAGCAATACTTAAACTTCAAGCATTTTGCAGAAATGTGAATTTTACAGTGAAGAGACAAGTTTGGATTAAGTTTTAATTTTACATTGAAGCTTTGTATTTTATTGCAAGAGAGTTAATATCAAACTGGTGTGCCTAGTAACATGGAATTGAACTTCTCATTTTCAGAAATTGATTTTTTTTCATTCAAATCTGATTTTACAAAGGTTCCAAAAGGAGCCAGAATTTATTTCAGTCATCTCTACTTCTGACCTTAATTTCTGCAACAATCTTCATTTCATAAGACTTGTATTATATTTTTGAAAGCATTTATTCTTCTTTATCTTTCCCCCAGCACATTTACTTCCTCATCTCAGATGGCAATTATGAAGATTAATATTTGGGACATTACCATCAATAACAGAAAGATTTATAAAAAACTCAGAATTCTATCTTTGGATGCAGCCAGGGACAGTGCTCAGTAAATAAAGAATGAGGCCAAGTTACAGGTAAAGAACGCGTGTAGGAGGAAAGAGGAAACAAAAATTGAAAAGCTTGCGCCATACAAGCAGCAGTATTTTTTCTCATTAAAGCTAGGCTCCTGTAGAAAAGCAGCATGCAAACTTTTACATGAAGCGGAGGTGGCCAGAGTAGAGGAAACGTTGTACATGTACACTTGAATTCATTGCATACATAAGATCTTTTACTATGAAATCCAAGGGTGTTTTCAGCATAGTACTTGAATGCACACTCTAAGACTAAAATATATGAATAAAACTAGAGAGAACTTGGGGAAAAGGAAAAAAAATTAAACTTGATCCATGACCTATAAGGAATGATAAACTGAGTAAGTTTCAACTTGCTTTGCAAAAAATCATAACATTAATTAAAATGTGGCTATTCTATTTACGTTAATTTTACTATATATCACTACTTTTAAGTTTGGTGGGGGTTTTTTGCAGGTGCATTAGAGAGATAACAGAGTAGAGAGTTTGTTTCTTCCCATTCAGTTAAATTATTAAGTGTTACCACAAATATCCCTAAACAATCACCCTGAGATTCCTTAGCAGAAGCAAAATACCCCAAAAACCCAACAAACACCAATCTTACTACTTGTCATTCTGGATGCCACTTAAGCTTTGAAGGACACATCGTAAAAACAGTCAAGGCAAAAACTTCCAAGGTTACTGCCATGCTTCCTGAACAGCTAAGTGAAACAGTCAGAGAACTCAACTTTACACTTTGTCATACACCTGTCCTCAGTCAGGCAACTTCTGCCAAACAGTTACAACACAGAGTATGGATAATACACAGAGTGTGAATGTGTGTGCACGTGTGTATATATATATAAAAAATATTATATACATATAATATAGATATAATATATATTTTATATATATATGTGAAAATTTAATATAGCAGTGTTAAGTACACTATCTCTGCCAATATATCCACTGGTAACTTTTCTACGAGATATTTATCTGCCGTGATTACAGGGAACACAAGTAAAACTTTATATGAAAATATTCTGGAAATACCATTCATTTTAAACATTATAAATCTTACCATCCATATGACATACTGATTAATATAATCAGGATCACTGAGCTGGTTTATTAATGGAAGAAGAATTCCTCGGGAGAGGATTTCCTGAAAAACAAAATATAGTAAATCATTTTATGTATTTATTCGTAAAGCTAATATAACTAGAACAATTTAAAAATCACTGTGTAGAGGCTAAAAAAAACTCTGTGTAATTACAGAAAACATTCCACAGGCACTAGCACATTCCCTTTCAATTAACAGAAGAAGATGGTAATACCTCAAGAAAAATGATATCCATTTTATCATGCTTTTACGTTGCTAGAGGCAGAAAAAGCTTCAAAAATATTTCACACAAACTGTTCTCCGCTATTAAATGTTTATCAAGATCATACTGCATTTAAAATAACCTGATAATAAATTAGATCAATTTTACAAAATAAAATAAGAGCAGCAGTTCAGATCTAAAGATTTTTATGGCATTACACCAAAGAATTGGAATGGCTTTTAGAATCCATACTTACCCTGACAAAGTATCTCATGATCTTGTTCTGGAAGTCTCCAGGAGGTAGCAATATATACAGTAAAACCTCACACAGATCCCTTAGGAATCCTAGGGAGGCAGAACAAAGAAAACCTCAGCACAATTTTATATTTATTATTTCATATCTTACCTGATAATCATAAAACTCAACAGATAAATCCTTAAAATTAAATTAAAATATAGAGTCATATATATTCTTACAGTCCAAGCACCACAGTAACACCTTTCAGCCCGAATATAAGCAGCACTGATTTTAACCCAGCTGAGAGATCTAGAGTCTCAAAACCAAGATAAAACAAAACCAAATTCCAAGAACCAAAAAACTAACTCCAATGTATTTTCCTTATTTAACATATACAGGGTTTTCTTCCCCTCCTTCACACTTTGCCCAAAAAGATGAACTGATTTTTTTAATGAAGGCTATGGAATAATGATAATGAAGGCAGATCTAACCAAAAGCAGTAAGAATCTGCAAAGCCATCCCCTGCCTCCCAGAAAACAATATTTCTATCCTAAAAGTCTTCCAATGAAAAGAGGAATAGCTATATATGTAAATACTTCATCCTAATTATAGTGTTAATATGTACAAATTAGAGGAATTATACATGTATAGTAGATAATCACACTTTGAAAGTCACATACTAAGATTTCAGTATATTTCATATTCTGCACAAAATTGTTAGTATTTTAATTTAGTCTGCTATACTGAAATAAGTTCAGAAGATAATATTGAGAGACCTTCTTCGTCTTTGGGAGAAGTGCAGACTAGGTCACGACAGACTTCTTTTTCCATTTCAACTTCAACCTCAAAAAATGTATCTACAAGTTCCTCAGCTTGGTCTATGGAAAAGAAAAAAAAGAAACATACTTTTTTGTAAAGATTAGAAACTTGAGAATAACCTTGAATTATAAAATAAAGCTAACTATATTTCACACATGTAAGATACCTGCCTACTCAGACTCAAAAAAAAAAATATTTTAATCACTACATTACCTTTCATCTGATCGCCTTTCTCTGCTATTCTTTGCTGAGCTTTTCTGAAAACTCGAAGATGAGTGCCAAAGTCATCAACAAGTCGTGTAGTGAAATAAGGCTGCCAATCTGTTTCCTTTGACCTGTCAGAAAAGGACATCCATGAAAATGAATTATTTTATCCTGAACACAAAGAACAATAAATTTCTACTTCTCCTTCCTCCCTGCCAAGAACCACACTGATAGTAAACACACAAAAGCAAAGAAATAAATCAGTCTCCTAATTGCCTATCCACTGAAAACAAATCAAATACTGTAAAATACCACTCTCACACCACATTAATATTTATGCTTGAATTACTTTAAGGTCAACATTAGTATCTGGAATAGCGTTCCGATTCATGACACTGTCAAATATCTATGAAAAATCCTGATATAAACAGTCTACAACCTAAAACTAAAATACTCCCCAGGTCTTTTTCAGCCATACTGTCTATCATTTTGGAAGGCACCTAAACAAAATAATTTTCTTCTGAATTTGCAGTATATGCATGAGTGAGAAAACACACATTTCACTTGAAACTACAAGCAACCTAATACTATCAACAATTGATTCCGCAGCTTGTATGAGCAGTAACTAGCGTGCATCTCCAACAATGTACATAGGTTAGTGTCAGAAAATAGTCACTGTTAGATTTGCATAAAACTGTTTCCTTAGTGGTATGAAAAAGATGCAGAGATATTCTTATGATGTCCATGCCTTACTAGTCAAACTGAAAAGGCACAGGTTTAACGAAACTAGATGTTAGTGATGGCTTTTACTCTGCACTAAATATACCACTACCTGAATTCTCTCGGATACCTACTTTGTTTTAGCAGAATCCTTCTACAACACTTCCTTTTATTGTGTTTGTTCCCTCACATGCTCTTTCTTCCCTCAAAGAGAGAGAAAGGGATAAGGAACTCTGGAAGGGAGGGAAGCCTACTGCAAAATCTAGATGTAGAAATAAGCAGCAGAGCTGTCTCAAAGGGCAGTCAAAACCATCAATAATCCAGATCCACCATCCACACAATCAACAAATCATATAAAAACACTAGGTGGCGGCCTTACATCATTCTCCCAAATGTGCAACTCTCACAAAAAAAAAAAACCCAAACAAAAAAAAACACAAAAAAATCCTACTGTATTCTTTCTCTCCAGAAGCTCACAGGGTATAGGAAATTAGAGGTGATGGTACTACTCTAAGACTGCTACAGCTATATCCAATTACAATCACTATAAATACACTAGATCATTTTCTCTTAACAACTGCTGCAGCCCTGTGAAACCGATTTGATCTGTACAGAAGAACACAACTGCACAGAAGTGGTGGCTATTTTTTAAGAGCTATAGTATTGTAGGGAAAAAAAAAATACATTTGCTATAACTTGATCCACTTTGACACAAACCCAGTGCTTCATACTGTTCAGTGAAGTAACTTTGCCAAATAGACAAAAACAATGAAATTGGGTAGCCAGGTCCTCTTCGTGTAAGCACAGGATTGCTTGCTGTAACATACAATTTATTTAGCCTAGTTTTCATTATCTCCAACACAGTTTCCTAGGATTTCCATTATTTCGCAATCAGTAAGGTTTTACTATCATGAATTTTTCCTAGCATTAAACATAGCTCTCCATCTTTGACCTTTCTTGCCAGAAGAGCACACTGACCTACATTTTCAAGTCAACAGAGGGAGGGGATAACAAAACCTCAAAATTGCTATGAAGTTTGTTATATTTAGGTGACCCACAACCTCTTCTGAAGAGAAAACAGATAACAATCAGCACAGTGGCATGTGATACCTGGGCTGAGAAATCAGCCATACTAAAGAAGATAAATAATTTCCCAGACAAGTCCCCTGACTTCCTGCTACTTGATTAAGCAACAGCAGAAAAAACATGGGAAAATTAACGAACTATCCATTTGTACTGAATCAACCCTATTTTTAAAAAAGATTTACATATGTGACATATCATTTTGTTCCCCAGATCACCATTCCTTTAAAAATACTCATTGTTCTTACGTATTGAAGAGCAATACTGCTTTTAGAAGTTATCTGAGCTGATACAGATGTCTGAAAGGCTTTCAGATTGACTTACCTTGGGAATAGCCCTGCTGTTTATATGAAACAGACCTGCATATAAAAAGGTGATGATTCATGCAACTCAATGCTTAAGTTGCAGAAAAAGAAAAAGTTATTCGGTAATTTTAGACATTAATATAAATTTTGAAAAGGCCGTTTTGCAAAAGACCATGACTACAAACATCATCTCCATTCATTTCTTAAGGGATCAGCACAAACTGTAGTTGTTAGATTATGATTTTTAAAATTTTACATGTTCTTTCTGTAAAATACACTTAACTATGCCAATAGATAAACTTAATCATTTAGCTACTACCATACAACCCACACAGCTTATTTGTCCACTTGCTTAGACAGTGCATTGATGTAAATACAAATAACCTTACCTGGCAGAAAACTGAACAAGTGCATACTGAAGAGCCTGCCTGATTTCCAGAAGAAACGATTCATCATCACTTAGCGTGTAATACCAATACTGAACATAGTCTCTCAGGGAAAACTGGATTACCTGAAATTGGAAAGGAAAAAATAACCATGAGCTAATGAACAAAAGACAACAAAAGATAAAATAGCTTTTTGTGCCTGATAATGCAGCAGCAGACATCTTAAAAGGTTAAGATAGTAAACCACACTCCCATAACATTATGCAACTGTGAGTGAAACAATGTAACTCACATACTGAAACGTTTTTTCATATTGGCTTGCATGCATTCATCACCACTATGCTGAGAAACTATAATATACAGAAAACAGACTCAAATATTGCCCAATATCCTGGCCCATCCTCAATGTTTTTTCACTTACCGCTCTCAAACATGATAAAATTTCTCAACTTCTATTTGTCTCTCAACTACTTAGGTATTACATAGTCAACACTTGCAAAAATAAAAAATAGATTAAATAGTCCTGGTTAGAAATTACCTGTTGCAAAGGCTCATCAATTATATTTGCACCCGTCAGTCTTCTGTCAATCTTAATAGGTCTGGCTTCACGTTTCATTTCTTCAACGCACTTGAAAGAGATTAGGAAATGTAACTTTGCAGGTTTTAGCTATAATTAAAAAAGAGCTCTACTGTTTATGATATATGTATACTTCCAGTAATGACTTTACACAATATTTTCCCTATTATTATGATTTATAGGGTAGATAAGATATAATTATAGCATCATAGAATGGTTTGGGTTGGAAGGGACCATTAAAGGTCATCTAGTCCAACCCACCTGCAACGGGCAAGGATATCTTCAACTAGATCAGGTTGCTCAGAGCCCCATCCAACCTGACCTTGAATGTTTCTAGAGATGGGGCATCTATGACCTCTCTGGGCAACAATAATATTTGTATTTTTCACTATATAGTAAATAATGGTGACGAACTAACCTGAAAACCTACTTCTTGCTTACTCTAAAGGAGCAAGTTTGCTAAAATACTAGATTGGAAGGAAATAAAACTCAAACAGTTATAAAGGGGAAGGCGGAGGGGGGAGCAGGACGACAACATGACAGCAGCACAACACCGTTTGTGGGTAAGATCCCAGTTCCATACTTGATTATGAACTTCCTGTGCAACCTCATGCAGGTAATTGTTCAGTTGTTTTTTCTCTCAGTTTCTTTATCCATCACAGTTTATTCGATATGCCAGGAGAGAAATCACTCTTTTGTACCATCACTACTTGACAGAGAAGTCTTTAAGAGGTAACTGATGAGGGGGTAACAAATTATTTTATAGAACGACTTGAACTCAGAGCAGCTAACTCCAAGAATGACTTCATCAAAGCTGACTTTTGGCAAGTGACATACTGAAAAAGCACACCCTTTATCAGTGCTTCTCTGAGTAGACTAATACAGTGTCCTTCTACAAACTTAAGATGAAATCTGCAATAAACTCCATTATTTTCACAGAAATAACCACCCAACAACCTACACTAGTGTTCAAAAAAAAATAAAGTTATTTTATTCTTTGATCTAGAGGGAAAGTTATGACTGTATTGGAAACACAGAAAAACTGCCAAAAACCATAAATGAAAAAATTATAAACCATATGTCCACTGTTTCTATTCTACGTGACTCTCTCTAAGTATCTCTCATTCAGACCAGTTAACACTGAATGGCAGTGAAGTACCTCAGGCCAGAAAATATTCCTCCTCCTACTTAACTAACTCTATATCACAACGCAAAGTATTTTGTTGCAAAATTCTGTATATTTTTTAACTTTCAAGACAATGGAAGACTTCAATGCTACTTTAATATGAATGAAGTTGACTCATATTCAAACAATACTCCAGCTATATACTAATGAATTTGCAAAGTATTTTTGTCTTGATGGTGTCAAAAATACCAAACCAATGCAGAAGGGAATGATTAAGTATTTTTACTAAGCACAGCATAGTTCAAATTGCCAAACAAAATGGTTAAAATAGAGTTGTGAAGTTTGAGGACTGCATGCATAAAACCACATCTGGAAAACACAGAAGAAAAAGCAGCAGCAAAAAAAGCACCAGCCAGAAGAAAGAGAGAGACACATAGAAAATATGCAACATTACTTGGTAAAAGTCTGAATGTTCATAGGCTCATAGGATTCAATTTTTGGCCTGGACTTCAGAAAGTCATCTTGTCCAACCTCCTGCTCAAAGGAGAGCCAACTACGAGGTTAGACCATTCTTTAATATTCTTTTTTCTCCAGTGAAACGTTTATGTACATGCAGTATAATTTCATTTGCTTTTGATATGTCTGAAGATATCTAAAATTTAGAATATCTGCTTTTATTTCATTGCAGCTACAACAGCTGATCACAGTTCTCACTTGGAAAGCACTGCTAGTTTTAAGCCTGGCCTTCCAGACACTGACTTAGAAGATGGACTTAAAGGAAGGACCCAACTCACATGAAGAAAACTGTCCTATTTGACTGTCACTTCATACACAATTAGTCTGACATACTCTACCAGTATTAAACGATCAGTTAGGAAAAATGAATATCACTTGTTATTATTAAATTTGACACCTACTTACTTCATTTTAAGCAGGCAGGAAGCACTTATGAGGAATGTGGGGCACACACTCCACAAAGTGAGATGTAATACAGAGTAAAGAACCCCAGGTTCCACAGGCATGTAATATTGCAGCGACTGAGTAGACTTCAGACTTTTGCTTCGCTGCACTAGTAGATATTTTTAAAGGCCTTTTTTGAAACTATGCTAGGTAACTTAAATATGAAAAATGCCTCATTTGGACTGTGCCACTATTTCCCAAATCACATAGTCACAGGCTTTTGTGAGCGGACAAGACATGGGGGATTTACAAATCTGCATCAAATCCATAACATAGCATACGACCAACTGAGTTAAAGAGATTCAGAAACTAATCAGGGATCAAATATGCAACTAGCACTTATAAGTTATCACTGTTACCTTACAGTAATTTGGCAACATTATACACAGCCTACAGAAACTCCTTGCCTTTTGGATAAAGCGTAAGAGACTTCAATTATGATAATAACTGAACGTTCCACACTTCTGTTGAAGTTGGACTGAATCTATAATTTTTATTGAAAATAGCATTCCAGTTAACAGTTCAGAAGGCCCTAAACTTGCCTTTCATTCAACATTATTTTAATATAAACCTGCAGACAATTGTGTATCTTACAGAGCCAGCATATGGCATCATCCAATAAATTCCTGACACAAAAGTTATATAAAGCAGACTTGCAAAAAGAAAAGCAAGTCTAATCCTAATTTTTAAACCTCCCTGTGTGTATGCAAACAACAACAACAAAAAATAGTAGAAAGGTATATAATCTTCCATCAAACTTACATAACTATTTCTCCTTAATGTGAGGCATTCTTTATATATTCGCTAATAAGCATAGTAAGCGGCAACCAAGGAAACCTATCGGCACCAAATCCTGTGTTGTAACTTAGAATCTGGTACATTCTACACATTATTTCCATCCACAATTATGGTGCCCTGAATTATAACTGATTTATTTAAAATCAAGCATTTGAACATTCACCTTAGCCTAAAAAATCCCCAAATAACAAAATCCCCTGAAAATAATTGATAAAGCTCTGACTGCCTTTGGGGAAAAGAGCTTCTTGTAAAAGAGCCTATATAATCAGATTACTTCTCAAAATACAGTATCAAAAAATACCTTCATATTAAGGTGAATTCAGTTTGTACTTGGTTCATGGACGAAGCATAATATATATACTAGCCACTTGAAAGAATATTCATTGTTCAAGACCACTTAGGGCCACAATAGTTTCAAACATGAAAACAATTTCAAGTTAGAAATATTACTTTTCAATAAAGATAAGTCAGCAGAAATTTAATACAGAAATGGCAAACAGGAATCCCAAGCAAACCACACATTTGGTTTTAGTTAGGACTCATCTCTTCTTGCACTGCTACTGAAAAGCTCAGCTAAACTAGCTAATGCTATTTTAATACAATGGCAAAAAAGAAATACAAAACACTATGGTAGAAGACAAACAGATTTTAGTTGGAGAACAACTTCAAACAGCACTTGGTAAGCCAGCTAAAAATAAATGCCTTCATACTACAAAACTTAAATCCAGAGATTAGTCAAGACAGGTCAGCTGAGAACAGCTATGTGTCAATAATGCGCACTGAAATCAGAAGTCAAACTACTGAATTTGCAAGGATTATGCAAAAAAATCCCATGTTTTATTCTTTTAGAAAGCAACCAGAGCATACACATGTACTGAGCTCAAAAAAGTAACATTAACATAAAAAAAAGTTTCAGCGATGTAAGGGAAATTTAAAAGACAGAAAAACTTCTTGTAAATCTGCTCTCAAAACACGAGACATAAGCAACACTCCACAACCCATATAAGCACTGAAGTCTCTATAGCACCAAGAACCTTAGTCCCCTAAAATGAGGTTTCTTTAATGGAACAGAAACATTAGTTGATTGCTGGCTTGCCCTTTTTCAGCCTTAAACTTCGTATTTTTCATTTGGACCAGCGATATTATTTTATAGTTTAGCATATACTTAAGTTCCAGATTTATCTCAACAGATTCAAAGACTTAAGAGAAAAGGCCATTTACCAAAAGACCTATGAACCAGTCACAAAAAAAGTTCTGTGATTAGAAAACATACTGCTGAATCACAAAATAAATTTGTGTGCTACTGATAAGAAAGATGAACACCCCCCACTCCTTTCACAGACAACATAAAGTGACCTGACAGCTAAGACAGGGAAGGATGTTTCTGTCAAACAGTTGTGAGATTAAATATAACATAACTAGCAATCTTTGGGTTAAAGTGTCTTCTCTATTCTGATGAGTGCGAACAGATTAGGCCAAGATATATCCAAACTTCTGAGATGCCAAGATCTATTAGTTCATAAACCAGAAACAGATGCGGATTTATCCAATTAGGAACCCTGAATTTAGGTCCATCAACCAAAATGATGTGTCTGTTAAGAATTCGGAAAAAAAGAAAAGATTTGAAAAAACAGATCCCACTGCTGCTCCACAGTTATCTATGCATTTCCAGGATTTTTGCATGGTCTTAAAGATAGCCAAAGATAACAATTTCTACATCCCCAAAGTACTGTAAATCTAGACTTTATTACAGTTCAATCTTCTTAGTTAGGCAAGTAACTTTCTGACCACAAACAATCAAAAGAATCAAAGCTGGAGAGACTACAGATCCAGTGATGGAAGAATCCTAAATGGTCATGACAATCTTGCAAGAAAAAGCAAGAAGGAGCTACCGCTCCCACCAAAAAAACCCCAACACATACAAGTAGTCTAGGAAGGAACTGTTTAGTAATTCCCTCACAGATAATATTAGCCAGTTATATCTTACTCATTTCTCATAATGAAGCCAGAAACTATACTTGAAACAAACTTTCAATAAATGCTTGAAAAGCTTGTATTTCAAAAAGGAAAAAATCTTGCATTTCACTTGCACAGCGCAGCTGACTCAAAACATAAAAGCAGGCTCTTTTACCTTGGGAAATGAGTAAAATTCTTAGATTAAAGCTGATTATTAGTGTCATTCTAATTTTCAAAGTTATAAAATCTGATCTAGCAGTTAAGACCAGTAAACTCTCCTTACCTTAGGGATCCCAACTGATGTACAAGGAAGAAACGAATGCTCACACTGCTCAAGGTATTTTTCCGAGTTGCTTTTTCCAAATAAAAGAGTAACCACAAAACCCCTAAAATGGAAAAAGAAAGACCAGCTAGAACAATCAACTTTTCCCCCCCTCTAGAAAATATTTCACAGCAAGTTATAAAATGACAATACATGACAATTCTGGTTACTCTCCTAGTACAGTGCGCTTTCACAGCGCAGCATGCCGCTCAAAATAACTGACACAATACTAAGTATGAAGTTTCCCAGCCTTGCACTAATCAGTCTTGATATATTCTTATCACATGGCAGATCTATATAGCACAGTTTATACTACACAGCCTGCTGCATGAGAAGAACCTGTGATGGCATGCTACCTGCGCTCACAAATATTAGTACACTGAAAGAGGGGTACATAAATAAGCTGCTCTGGTTGTATTACACAAAGATTCTTTTACTTCAACTCTATGAAGAAATAAACTCTTTAGAGATACCTTTAGGCCACTGCATTGTGGCATAAGGCACAATAATACAGACCAGGAAGAAGCTATGTAGTAAGTGTAGTAAGCAACTACTGATGACGTATGTTAAAACAAGTATGAAAATTTTCAACTGGGAACTTATTTTAAGCTGCAAAGAAAAGGAAAAAAAATAAAAATCAAAACCAACCCAAACACAAACCAAAAAGAGAAACCAGTAGTCCTGCCAGGCTGCACAGGAGCAAAGTCAAGGAAAAAGTCTAGAGGTTAACTGGAGTTAAAGACAAGGTGTTGGGGTTTTGGGGGGTTGTGAGTTTTTTGGAGTGTTGGGTTTTTGGGGCTTTTGTTGTTGTTTTTAATTAATTCAGCATATAAAATCTGAACAAATGCACTCCTGAACCATTTATTTTAAAAGAATGTTAGATCAGAAATTCATTACCTTCATCCCTCACAATATTACAATGATACTGAAATTATGACTTATAGTTAAGCAGGACAGCAGTTAATTTTATTATTGTTTTCTTTATGATATAATGAAGGCATAAGGGAAAAAAGCAACCTTACAAGAAGTTCAACCTTGCTACAACAGCAATGATTTATTTACAGTTTATGACACTAGCGCAGAAAACCACATTAACTTAAAGCTGATTTTACTAAGACAGAGATGAAAACCTAAAGTCTGTACCAATTATAGCATAATCTGAGTATGTAGCCTTTGAAAAGTCAAGAATAAAAAAAGAGAATATGAAGATACTGCTGCTTAGACTAGCCTTGGGATGGCTAAACATGCATAGCTTTTTACACAAATTTCAAAGCATTCAATTTAAAGGCCAGCTGACCAACATGTGTGACCACAGGAACTCACAAAGTTATTTCAGGCTTGAAACATGCTGAAATAATACATTATTTTAATATAGATTGCTGTTGATATACAATAGTCATATGATTAGAATAAAATTCCTAACCAAGGTAAAATATGCCATTTTAAGGTTTTAATTCCTGAACTGGCAACGATTCCTTTTAAGTACTCCAGAGGTTCAGTGATTCAGAAGCAGGGAGGTGGTCTTTTATATACCTGAACAACTCCAGGGAGAAAACAAAACAAAACAAAACAAACAACAAAAAAAGAAACCCCAAACCAAAAACCACACAAAATTATTATTGGTAACTTCATAATGCATAAGAAAATTTCACTTGATACTCTGATTCCCTTACAACCACCTTTTATCTGCCAGCCACGTGTACTGTCTACATACAAGGACAAAAAATAAAAGCAGGTCTAATTGCTTTTCTGCTCCAGATACTTCCAGATAGCTTTAAAATCATAACATCAATGGTGCTAGTAGCATCATAATTCAGTTCAATGACAAAAACTTGCTTAGGAAAATCTCAATATTAGTTTCATTATGCTATAAAGTTAACTCATGTTTTGGTTTGGGAGGGGGGTGTGTTTTGTTGGGTTTTTTTTAATTATTAAAAAGTTTGGGTTTTCTTTTTATTATCTACTACTTTTCTATCAGAAACCTCAATCTTCTTTTAAAGAAAACAGTATACCCCAAATACCTTTTTTTTTTTTGTTGGCATAAAGTCAGTTTTAACTTCAAACATATACTAGCAATTTAGCAGGGGGGTGGGGAGGCAAGGAGGGCAAAGGTGCTTCTCTTCTTCTATTCAAAAGGATTGAAGCCTTGCAAATAACTAACTATAGATTATACACCTGTTTTCTATCAGATGTTACAACACTTTTAAAGTTAATGACTCATTCAAAAACACTAACATGCTATCAAAATAGCTTAAATGCTCATCTTGGGTGCCTTTTAAGTATTTTCATTTTTAAGCTAGAAATGCTAGGAGCTTCTGCCTCTATAGCAGAAATTAATACACTTTATTCTCTAATTTAAAATCATGTGTGCATTAGAGAAGGATGCATAGCCTGACCATTCAGTGTATCTGTTACCTAACCAGAAACTTCCAATGCAAATGCTTATTTAATTCATCAAGAAGATATTCAGTACAGTAAATGAGAAATCATTTTATTCTTTTCTCTAAATGAATAGAGCAGAAAAAGGAAGAGATGGTATTTTACTTAAATTTTTGTTGTGAAGTTTTTCCAAAGATTATTGGAAGGCCAGCTTTTCACAGGGACACATAAACAGAACAAAGGTGAAAGATAGAAAAATGAAGACTACAGAGTTATTCTCCTCTCAAGTCTGAAAAGTAACAGCCACAGCTGAATACTTCGTGTAAGTCAAAAAGCAGCTTCAGAACTGCTCCCAAGTTGGTCTGCAGTTAGAATCGTCAATGTGGGCAGCCAGTCACATATATATGGATGTGATTAAGTATCAATGTTTTTTGATGACAGAGCAAATTCCTTTAAAGCAACTGATGGTCCAAGAAATTTCAATTCTCCAACATCAGAAGCCTAAGGCTGTTGGCAGACCTGCAATTCACATAATTTTTATTTTACTTCCTTAGGATTGAAAGAGAGAAGGAGAGAGAATAAGGTAAGAAACAATCATAGTACAAAGAAAAGGCAGATGGTAAAAGACAGGCCCAGCACTCAGGTTAAGGGGTTTACACCAATACTTGAAGAAGTAGAGGCAAAAAAAAAAAAAAAAAAACACATTTCATGAAGATTAACACCTTGTAACAGTCTTGGCTACAGAGGTTAAAGAAATGATACCTATCTTTTGCCTCCTGCTTTTGGTGGAAAGAGCTCAGTTCCCTAAGCGATGAGTTACCAGATCCTGAATTGAAGAGGGATGTACTAAAAACCAAAAAAGCTAACATTTTATAAAACAGTCTTAAAACAAAATGAAACAAGGAGAACTTTTGATTTAGAGTTTTTATTCATATACACAAATAATTTCAGTACACTTCCACACACATAAACAACAATAGTACACTTACTACAAGCTATCTGTGCAAACACACAGTTCAGAGTAAATAAAAAAGATATAATTAGATAGCACATAACAGAAGTGAAACAATATAAACAGATTAATTATGTTGATACAGCTATGGCATCACCATTGTTTTCCTTCACAACTCACTGGCACATAATTTAAATGCTTAGGTTAATACCAGGAATGCAACCAGCTATGATTCAACATTTTCTTTTGTTTGAACTGCAAAATGGGACAGAAGTGGACTCCCAGTCAGAAACCTTTGATACAGGCCACTGGTTTTGAGCATGTATAAAAAGTTAGAAAATTGCATGACAAATTGGATAAGAACTCCAAGTTTCAACATAAAATTCTATGATTAAAATCCATGCCCAAAATTGTTATTTTTCTTCAGATATGGGTATGGTAAGTATTAAGGACACTACTACAATCATGAACCAAAATTAGATTTCTATTTTCTAAATTTATATAAATTATGTTACGATATACAATTGCCAATCATAAGTGAAAAAGTTACTTCACAACATTAATTTCCATTTGTTTCTAAGAGAAACATAAGTAATTTGTGTAACTTCATGGGAATTAATTCAAAAAGAAAAAGCAGGCAAGAATAATTTAGCTATAAACCTACTTGACCTAGTTAGCACTCATGGTTCTGTATGCTGAATGTTAAACTTAAAGTAGGTGTGTTGCTCTGAAAAAGATTAACAGTGTAAAAAAGGGCCAGATCACAGCCTTAGCCAAGACAACATGTATGTTAAAGTAATGAAGTAGTGACATTCTGCTGGAAAGGCTGCGACTTCATATCTATCTACGTAAGTAAACACATAGTAGGGAGATGGATACAAATTCTGCTTTAACAGATACACACAAGATTAATTTATCCTTAAGATGATCAATGTTCACTAACTACCTACAGAAAAGAACCAAAGCAGCAAAAGAATCACAGCAAAGAGATATCAGAGCTGACTTGAGAATGAGTGAGCTCAGGCACTAGAGGCAGTCTCACAGCGGCAAACTGTAGCTGACTTCAGACATACTCCGTGAGAGACTGCTTTGACTGTTAGCTTTGAAAAGCCAAGCAACTGAAATTGAGCAAGAAGGAAGGATACGCTTTTAAGAAATTATTATATCCCACATTATTCATACTGCAAATACTAAGGAAGTGGTAATACAAAACAGTAAATGGACAAACTCTTGCCCTTTGGACGAACTCTTTGCCTTTTGCCCTGAACAAATGGCCAGCAAAATATGCCAATCATACATATAGCAAAACTTAACAAGACAAAAGCATTTACATAAAAGGTAGCTTTACTTTAACTAAATCCTCACTCTGGTAGACTGACTATTCTGATTTCTCAAAGATGGAATTCCAAGTTTAATACAGTTGAAACCCAAGTGTAGCAGCTCTAATTTTAGCCACTAAACTCTATTACATGTTGAGACATACAGGAATATACATACATTCTGTACTATATCCAGTAAGAAGGTTAAAAGAGTGTTCCAAAGGAAGGAAGAAAAAAATATTAAGGATAGACCAAACACCCCGGCAGAAGCCAAGCAGGTCTTGGAGAGCCTAGAAATGTCACTGTCCTGCAGATTGTTCTTGTAAGTGAGAGGAAGGAGGAATATCCCACTAATACATTTAGACTTGGCATTAAAAACAAAAGTTTTAATGGTTACAAGGCAGATATTATAATATACAATGTAATAATGGTGCTAAAGACTATAAAAACATCACCTGTTTGCTCCCTTCCTGCCTATATAGATAAAGTATGAAATGTCTACAGCTGCTGAACTGATGTATTTGTTCAAGATACAGCATCCTTTCCACACACCAAGGAAAACATCAACTCACTTTCCTCATGAATGAAGTATCTTGGGTAGGAAAATGAGATTGTGATAAGGAAAGGGGACATAATTACTTAGTAAGTACCTGGGAAAATAACCAACACGGTAATAGAAAGTATGGACTGAAATGAACATTGGTTTTATGTAGGTACTTTTCCTCTAACAACCAGTATAAATAGCTACTTTTTTTTTTTAAATCAGAAATCTTTTTTTCGCCTGCGCAAAGGTAGTATAAGCACTATTCAACAGCAAGGGGAAAAAAAAACCAAAAAAACCAACTTCTGATAAAATTGAGATTTCAAGAAAAAAATTTTGCTCATAAAGAGGTGCTCAAATATGGAAACATTAATTACATAGAAGTCACTTCAGATTTTCAGAGCAAACTATTTGCTAATATACACGTTAAATTTTACTTTCATAGTAAATTATACAATACGCTAAGTAGTATACTTACCCACCCACAAAGCAGACGATATAAAATGCAAAGTAAAATATAGCGAAGGGTCCAAAAGTTACTAGAAAAAGCACAAGGCCAAGACTTCCCCATCCCCATATGGAAAGACTGGTCTGTAAACAAGAACACATGGAAAAGGAATCATTAATATGATATTCATACAACTTTATATCCCCAAAGCAGTATCTGTAGTTTCTACAAAGCTTGATACATTTTACCTAGATATGAAATAAGTTTTGCTTGATGAAATAAAAATTATCTTTATTTTTTTAAAAGCACATTGCTATCAAGTTATATTGTGGGTTAGTAGTCCAGTTCAGCCAACATTAGAGCATTTTTCCTTCAAATATTGTTACTCACCTCTCACTTCAGGTGCAACTATCACCCTTTAAAGCATAATCTCTTTTTCTTCTCTATTCTCATTTTATGCACTTTTGTTTCTTGAGATCCCTTCCCCCCGCCCCGTGAAATTCTGCACTACTTCCAAGAAAAACGCAGGCTTTGTAACAGAACAGGAAGAAACGAATGCAACCTTGTTTTACATAACTGTGTCATTTTCCACAACCAAGCAATGCTATTTCTTCCCTATATCAAAGCAGCTGCAAGACCAAAAATGCATCCCTTTCTGCAGTCAAGTCACAAATGGGTCAACAGGTGCACCAAATATTTGGTGCAAGTTTACTTTTACTTCTCCTTTTAAATAAAAGGAAGGGAACCTTAAGAAACTTATTACTACCTCTAACAATTTTTACCACAGAAATCAAAAGCCTTCAAACAATTTTCTGAAATATCTAAATACAATTCTGTTTTAAAATCAGGAAATTTAATATATATTTTTTAAAAAGTGATTCCAGATTAACATTTTCTCCACGCAGGCATTACCACGTTCCTAGAAGTGATCTGGCTTAGCAGGTAGAACTGATACTTTTGCAGTGGGAGGAGATGGGTTGTTTGGACAGCCCATGGTGCAGCTAAAGTCAGCTGCAAGAGCATCTGTGGGGCTGGTGGGATTTTGGGGCTGCTGTCTTGCATAATGCACCAGGCAAAGCTTCACCTGTGCTGGCGATTCACCAGGAGAATGAAAAAAGCAGTAAGATTCAGATTATTGTGCCGATACAGGTTACAGCATAAGTGCACTCATATACACACATATACACTTGATCTATGTATATAAATTATAGATGCATGTATGTACGTATATATACATATATGCAGGGTAATCTAAAAAGCAAGGTAGTGAAAACCTGACTGAGCAGAGCTACAATAGTTATGGACCTTCACAATACCGCAATGCAGTTGACAAAGATTACATAAATTTAATTCAGTCTAGTCTCTAGTTCAATATGGAAAGCATGTTTCAGCCAAGTCCCAAGAGTGTGAAACCAATGATAAGTATTTATAGGCCACCAAAACTGTTCCAGCTCCAAGGTTCTCAACTTTTCTTTTTTTGTTGTCTAATTTACACCTTTCCTACCAGTGATCAAATGACACCCTGATGGGAACTCAGACAACTGCTATGTCAACAAGTAACACTAAGAAAGTATTTAAATAAACTCGTCTTGCAGTTTGACATTTAGAAAACAAGCAGAGATTGAACACCATATTTGCAGAGCCCTTTTTTAGCTTTTAATATGGAGGACAGTGGAAGCTTGCCTACAGCTCTCATTTCTCTAAAGGGACTATTTAGATTTCATCTCTCCATCTTGGGCATGGGATTCATGCCCATAAAAATCCTATAAACAATGAAAAATAATATAAAATAAGGCTCCTACATAAAGCAGCTTCGGTTCTTTTCTGAAAGCAAGACATCAGACTGCCCGAAAGCAAAATCATAGCTCTAAGGAGAGACTGTTTCATAGATGTAAATTGTAATCACCAGAATAATTTCATTCTTCCTAGTTTATTTTAAGTTTAATGGAACATTGAGATGAAATTCTATTTTCTTCCTAGTTCCAAGTTTCTTAGCAAGAGATGGAGAAGCTATACTGGCTTTTTTCTTGGTGTTTGAGGCTGGAAAAAAATTACACTCGTCTACATACTTACATGTTTAAATTAAAGTGCTGCAATTAAAAACTGGATTGCAAGTTATTCAGTTCTCTTTAAGCTGAAAAAGAGCTTTATTATATGATACTAACCATACAATCCACACAGCTAAAATGCTGAAGATCAGTGCTACAATAAATAAAAACAAAAACCTGGCCACAGCTGAGTAGAAGATTTTGTTGACTCACAGTAAGTAAATGCAGTAGATAAATTGCTTGGATGGTGGGGAAGAGAGATATAAGAAGAGGGACATCAAGCTAAAAAATGTGGCAAATAAAACAACTAAAAAAAGACATGAGCTTTCATGATCTATCTACATTTCAATACATAAAGAAGATTCCTCATGTTCATGCCCTCAGAAATACATTTTAAAACTTCTGCACAGCACCACAAGCAACAGGAAGATACACACAGAAAATAACATTTAATCATGGTCTTTTTTTGTTAAAAAATCAGCATGCTTAATAGCATTTTTCAAAAAAGTTTAAATTCTAAATACGGCATAAGCAGTCTAAATGACTTAACAAAACTTAATTAAACTAGATAGCAGGATGTATATTCAGAGTTGGATGAATGCATAATTAACAAAGAAAGTTCTATAACTCAAATAAAACAGTGACCTTTTGTCCTATGCTCTAGTTTTGCAATTTAGCATTAGGCTACAGAGATTCAAATCTCATTTGGTATTTTAATAGGATTTCTTAAAACTCACACAACTTGGTACACTGCAGTAAGTACAACAGATACTGGCCCAATTCTTGTATACTTTAGATGAGTGGTTTATAGTCTTACAGATTTTGAGACATTCAAAGGGATCTAATCATCAGCATGGTTCCCTTTAGGCTGACTGTAAATAAAACTTGCCCTAACTTCACACTTCTTAAAGGGCCTTCAGCAGTACAACTCCCAAACAAAAATGAAAACTTTGTTTAAAGTTCATTTAACACATCACAATCAACTATTAAAAGAAAAGAAAGTCCAAACATTACACAAATATGACTAATGCAGCTTGTCGGTATGGAACTAGCTCAATTCAAACCTTGCTACTTACAACTTATTTCCAAATAAGTTTTATTTATAATATCAATTTTTTATAAGATTCCCAGATCTACTGAAGCTCTGCCTAACCTTACTGAAGTTAACTGCAGGGTGAATGCTTGTCACTCTTGACAGAATGAACAAGCCAGTCTTCTGAAGAGATGGTATAAAAACAGTGTTTAAGTCACAGCTCTTCAGACCCTTTAAAAGAAGCCGACATGCCCTATGCTGGGAGGGCAAACTTCCAAGCTGAACTGTCATAGTACTATTTACTGAATTTCAGTTAAGTAGGGACAGTTACCTAAACACTAAAGAAGAATATAGGCCTTAATCTTGTGGTAGGCATGTATGGGTAGATACTGTATGCATACACACATGTGCACAGGGATAAAGGATCTTTATTCCAGATCAACAACCCTTCCACCTCATCAGTTTTAGCACTTCAGCTTACCATCACCACAGATGCTGTATGTTAGCCCCACCATCACCACTTCTTATCTTTCATGACTAAGATCTTAAAAGAAAAACTTCTGCAGCGTACTAGTAAGGTCATATACACAAAGGGCTAATGTAGCATCATAGTCACACACAGTAATTTTCTTCCCACATTAAGGAATTGCTTTAGCAAAATAAACTGCAATTGAAGTAAAGGGCTTCCTGTAACTCCAAACAGCACACTGAAGAGCCTTATCAGGTGAGAGGAGACACACACTAATGCGAATATTCACATGAGCTTGATTCAGCTGTTACAGATAACAAGACTATCACCTCTTAACACCACCTGCTTGACTTTTTTTTTTTTTGACTAGGCTTTGTCCATTTTTCCCACTCAATGTTTTTTCCACAGTATACAGCCAGCTACTAAGAGTAGTACATAAAGAACTTGCTTTCTTATATACATCTGCTTTTCCCTTCTTTGGCTTCTGCTTCCTAATTAATGCAGCATTTTGATGGTCCCAGTTGCATACTGCTATAGCTAGCAGTGCTAAGCAAAGACTATGTGACTTAACATCACCATTGACACAGGAGCTTATGTAAATCCACAGGATTCACTTCGTAGAAACTGTGTACTAAGGCCACACAGACAGTCTTAAATCAACAGTTTAAGAGAAGAAAAATCTCACTGTAATTTAGTATGCATGCAGTTATGCATAATATAATTTACTAGTTATGAATTAGCTAAAGTATTTTGCAGACAAATCAATGGGAGCATGGCAAGGATTTAATGTACCAACCACAACAGCAATGATTTACTGCAGTAACAAACACAACTATTTCTTACTATACTTGAAAGTAGCTTCAATAGATTTCTTGCTTGCTTAATTCAGCTGACAAGCTTTCAGAGCTTTGCTTCTGTCCCATCTTTAAGCAAAATCCTCAGCCTTGATACATCTTTCACTAAAATAATTCACAAAGTGACTGTAGGTTTGCTGTTGGATTTAAACTGGCGCTGTGAATTTTAGCTTGCAACTGGCAATAAGATACATACATGTTTCTTGTTTAGTGCAAAACCAGCGCTACTCCAGAACTCCACCCGACAGGTAGTCCTTTTCTTCCTATCCTCCCCTTTGCCGCCAAACAGCAGAGGTGTTTCTCTCTTGAGGCTCTGTGTGCCACCGTCCTCCCACTCCAGCCAGGAGCTCCTGCTCCAGGCATACTCAGCAATCTTCACAATTCCCCCACAGACTCAGAGTAATTGTGGTTTCAAGTTTGGAGACAGGGCAGGATGGGAAGCGAAGAACATCCACACAGGAAGGCTGCGCTCTGGAATCATTCGCTTGTCAATCCTAAAGCTTCAGCAGAATACTATTTAGGTCTTACAGCCGTAGTATCCAACAGGCCAATACCACTTCTGAAGATTGCCATTTGTGATTGTTTTCAGATTTAATGGTTGCAACAGAATAATCTGAACATTGAAAGAACAGTGCCATTTAAAAACAAAAACATGCTGCTTTGCTGACAATTCTTTTACTGTGTATATCCAATTACATTTGTCCATTAATATTTTAAAAATGACAGTTGCTGACCTGTC